TCTAAATTCAGAAATTTTATAAAAATTAACAAACCCTCACAACACCATATACAAGTGCCTTTGCACTGTGTCTTTTCTAACAAATATGCCTATTTCATTACCTCAGTATTTACATTTTTGGAAAAAATTGATACCTTCCAAATGTAAGTATTTAGCTCTTAGCCAAATACTCCCTTTTTATTTCAAGATTGCTCTTACAAATTTGTACTTCACACTTAGGTCATGGTATGGCTATGCAAGATTTCTGGGAATTTGGGAGAATGTTTCTTGGTTGCATTCACAGAATTTTTTGTTTGGGTTGGGTAGCTTGCATTCCATGGAGGGAATTCCTCTTCACCAGACTGGCATCCAGATAACTTTCTTGCTACCAATCTTCTAAAACTCCCATCAACTGTGTAGTGAAATTTTCCTGAGTTTTTCTGATTTGAATTAAAATTCTCTTTTTTAAAATGAAATCCAAGTATCATTTCTTTCTGCAAGTTTGTAATCTAAAATTTCTTCATGTGCCTTTATTATTTTCAGGCAGTCATCATTCTTCTGGATTTAAGGTATTATAATCAAATGTTACAACCATACAAACCATGTTAAATTCTGAACTTACATTTTTGTAAGCAGTGCTCACCCTAGGAATGTTCATATCCATTTTCAAGATTGATGACTTCAATAAAAGGGGTCATTAAATCCAAACTTCTCACACTTGATGACAAACTTGTCTTTTAACCTTGTGATCAACAATGATGAAGTACTTTCTGAACTTTGTTAATAGCTATTGTCCACAAAAACTAAAATAGCAGCTCCACTCAATTACCCCTTCTGTTACCAGGTGTTACATATTGGTACAATGGTACCAACCTAACTGAGAAAATATGCTGAATAAACAAATCACATGCTTTGCTCTTACTGTTACTGTAATAACCATTTTTTTTTTTTTTTTTTTTGAAATATCAAAAAAGTTACTGACAGCTATTTCATCGAAATGTATTTTTCTTTTTTTAACCTCATTGCTGTTCTTTGCTAACTAACTGCTGCCATCTATTGGTAGTCACTAAATGCAAGATGTTTTAGTCATGAACAAGATTTTGAATTGGCCAATAGGGGGCAGCACTATAACATAGCTTCAGGGCAGCAGAGGATTCAAATGTGTGCTCATGTGCAACAGTTGTGTTTCTTGGCTTGTTTGAAAGAAAAAAGAAATGCTACAAAATTAACTGTAGCATATGTGACAAAATTAAATCAAGAGAAGCCTACAAGTGGCACAGAAGTAATTGGTCCTTTCAACTGCTCTGTACTGTTTGAGTATTTTTCAAGGGAAATTTCCTATAAAAGGATGATCTTTATTCTAAATGATCAGTATTAGGTCGTCTTGAGATCAGCAAAGAGGTCAGCAAAGGGTCAACCCCAGAGAATCTACATATTAAAACTAATATATTTCAAAAGGCAAAATGTGGTGTGTACGAAATTTTGAAATACAATTTCAGGGTTTTAACCATCAAAGAACAATTCCCTGAACTGGTGAGATATGATATCAGCTATTGTTTTGAAGAAACCATTATTGTAACATTCAAACTTCTGCATTAAATAACTGAATTTATGAAATAGTTACTAGTACTTCTTTGTATTTTGACTCTATTTTAGTGTCATTTCATAAAATATAATATCTAATATGCAATGACTAACACCCTGCTATTCCACCAATCCAAAATGGTATTTGACTTTTTTTCAATCTATAGCCTCCATATGAAAAAATCTGCATAACCTGGCTGTGTAAGGTATATGCAAACTTATTTTTTTCCTTTTCCTTTCTTTTCCTTTTTTAACTATGCTCTACTGGTAAATATACTAAGAACATGTTTTGAAAGGCATCTCTAGATGATGCATGTGATAAACTATTTTATCTGGTCAAAATGCTACAGATATAAGTCACTGGGCCAATATTACAAATTCTCTCCATGCTGGAGTCCAGATGCCCTGGTCATCTTCATGGCCTGGAAAGCATTTTCCTAGAATTCTGAGTATTTTATGTAAAAGATACGAGGGCAAGGTATACACATAACGAAAAAATTCTGTGAATCTTCCTACTCACCTCCGAACTTTTTATATCTGAAGAACTCGTAAAATGTGAGGTGTTTGAATGGTATCTAATACGCACACGCCCAAAACTATCCACTATCTGGGCTCTGTCACTGCTGGTATTTCAGTGATTATCACCGATAAAAAATTCTTACTTAACTGTTTGATCTATAATTGTCTTTGCTTTCAAATTTTCCTCCATGAATTGTTTGTAACACTTCTGCAACTTTCCCTTTTGAATGACAACAGATTACACATCAAAAACAGAGATATAAAATGTTGCTTTCATCTGAGTCAGATTTTTTATCCTAAACAATTTCAGTACAGCATGGTATTTCCAAGCTAATTGTTGTAAATATTTGTAAAAGAAAGAAACCAAAGGTCTTTAAATTCTCAAACATCCTTGTTAACATGTTTATATACACCATTAGTTATTTGTGCTTTACGTTTTCTTGAAATATGTAATTTTTCACTTCTTCATTTTTCAAGAAAAAAATGCTTTTTATTTATTGTTTTTAAAATGTTCAACCTCTCATGATGATTCCATCTTAAACAGCTGTATTACCAATGCTTCCGTACTACTTTTCCAGTCTTAAAAAGATCAAGAGGCCTTAAAAATGGTAAAAAGTACATATTTATTGTTTCTGTCCATTGCTGTTTCACCTTCTTATTCCTATGGTCCTGTTCCACTCAGCTTCATCCCTTCTCTATGTTGCCAGGTTTGCACACTTCATAAAAGCATGGTGGGTCCACTTTTACAACATGACTTTTGACTAATTAAGAAACTGGCCTCATATGGTTTAGGAAGTGACAAAAAGGAGGTTAAGAAAAGTGCTTTTTTTTTTTTTTTTTTGCATCATCTCTTCTTTACCAAAATTATCATATTAAGATTAGTTTGTTAGCAAAATGCATTTAAAATAATCGGTTTTCTCTTTATAGATTCATATATGTTGATTCATGTTTTGCTCTTTCATTTTTTTCTCAAGGGGTGTGTTGGTATGATGATATTTTATGTTGAAAGTTGAATGTACAAAAGATAGATACGTATGCCATACACATTTTCCAGTAGGCAACTATAAGCATGAAACAAATAGCAGAATAAAACATGTTATAAATTAAATTAGTCCAAATGAAACTGCTTTACAGTGAAAGTGATTTTTTATAGTAATAAATACACTGACCTTAACTTATTTAGAGAAATAGACTCGGATACATCCTGCTGCCAAATGACCTATTTGAAGACATTTGTTATTGTAAATTGACTGCAGGCAAAGCTGATTAACCAGTGTATAGTTTTTGGATGCTAAACACTCCAATTGAAATTATTTTTTTACTAAAAGGAATATTAGAAATAATCTGCTTAAAAAAGGCCAAAGATAAGAACAGAAAAAGACTGAGAGCTAAAACACTTGTGCTTAAGTTCAGTGTAGTGCAGTAATATTTATATATACTCTATGCGTGATCATTTTCATTCATTTATGCAAATCAACATTTAAATAGCATTTCACACTGAAAATATTGAAAATAGAAACGGATAAGAAAATAAAACAGTTGATCCCTTCACAAATGTACAGAAGAAAGCAAAATTTCAAATCATTGTTGCATTTTGTGCAAACACACAAAAGTTTCAAATTTATTACTGAACTTCCAATGTTTTAACCACAGGCACTGCAATATCATCAAGCATACAACACTATATTTCCACTTGCTGCCTACCGTATAAAAGATCTACTACTAGTAAGAGTTTAATTCCAAAGCTTAGCTCTTATTTAACTATGTAACATTTGGACAACACCACAGATACACCATCCACTATCAGCTGAGGAAACATGATTCATCAAAAAAGTGAAACAAAGTTTGTAACTTCGGTGTCAAGGCAATAGATTACCTTGCAGATCATCCCAAGATAAAATCAGTCTGTGTGTGATGGCAATTAAATTTACAGGAACAGATGTAATTGAATCTTTCACCACACAGAACAGTGATGTTATCTCCTCCCCTCACACCTGCCATAGAGCACTGTACACCATAAAACTGTCCAGGGAGCATTTAACTAAACTGTTAACTGCTTATATTAAATTAGGCTGCTATTTTTGGATCTCACCTTAATTTGATGACTCAATTAAAACTTCTCATAGAAGGCTGCGAGTGTTGTCCACGTTTCTTGGACTTGCTCATAAAACAGACAAAGCTGTAGCGTCCAACAAAAGTTTCCGTAGGTGTGCAGTGGCAGCATTGGTCATTGGGTGATGTCACCGCCTTGAATTTCTGTCAAAAACATTAATAGCTTTCAATAAACTTTCCCCATTCAGTAGTATTAACGTCCCGATATAATAATAACAAACATGAAAGCAACTGCGCAACCCGAGCCTTTATTGGGTGTAATCTTAAAATTACTGCTATTATGCTGATTAACCATTATGGCAGTCAGTAATGAAAATATACCTGTGTGGCTATTGTTACCGTAATGTCGGAGTAATGAGGACATTTTCTCCATGACTGAGTCTGGGGCAGCGGGGGGCTGAAAAGGGGGCAGGGCCTTTCAACTTCGCGCAGGAAGTTTACTTTTTGTACACCGATTACCGAGCCTGGATCAACATGCAATAAAAAGGTATACATTCACGCGTAGATTACATTTCCAGTGGATAAATATTACTAGATCAACATGCACTGGTTGTGTTGCCTTTCTGAGCCCTGAATGACACGCAGGGGGCAAAAATGCGACTGTCACTCGTATCAACACTTTGACAGGATAACTTTTCTTTAACAATAGTTGCCCAAAGTGCGGCATCTTTGTGCAATTAAAAGAAGGAAAATAAAGCCAGTTAAACAAAATTTATTTGATGTGGACGCTCACCTACCCGCTACAAATATTGACACTGTTTAGTGAGGAACGGAGTACACACTGCATTTAGTAGCGGACGACGCAGAGCGCTGAAATGAAGTTTTACCTCGTCCCTTGTGGGTGGAGCTACCAGTGTCAATTTCACCAGACATATCATATAAGTTTGTGTAAAATAGTGCTACACAAGTTCAGTTTGCTATTTGTCGGTGCATGGTGAAAAATATCTGTAGAAAAAAGTGTTTCGATGGGAAGATTGTAAAGTTTTCACTCATCGCAGCTGGGCGGAAGTAATCGGGTGACGTATACGTGCAACCAGGGTAAAATTGTGAGAGCGAGTATCAACTTTCACTACGAGGAGTGTTCCTCAACTACAAGATCTCAGACTTAATCTTTAGACCGAAAATCCAGCTTATCCTTCATGAATTCGTTAAAGCAGGAACTGTGAGGCATTTCAAACCATAGAGGAGTGAGATAAAGCCATGAAAGGGACCGTCTATACACCATTTCTACTGGCATTCTGCTGCGCTTGTACAGTTCTGTTGGGTGAGTTTGAAATTCTTTGGCATGCCATGTGTTTCATTGGGTTCATGTTATTGTTAAGAGTTGTGCGTTAGCTTTCTCGGAATAGATGCAACGCTTTGAAATTTAGGTCACTGCAGAAATACTGGGCAGTGCCAGAACTGACTGTGCTTTGCCAACTTGATATGTTTATATAGCGAACTTGGTAGTTTTGACTTTTTGATCGCTCAAAGTTTGCTCAGAAGCGCTGTGAACTGAAATTATCATTCGCATTTTCTTCTTTGGAGTAATGAGTTTTGAAATCCCATTGAATTTTACTCAAAATTAAGGTTTTCTTGACCCTCTGTTCGTGAATTCTTTAATAAGTTATCATTCTCTCAATTTTTGACAACAGTGCCAGTGGTTATTTGCAACAAGTTACATGCATCATTGCATGGTTAGCACCAAGTAATGGCATTTCTGAGGACAAACCAGAACACTTTACATTTATTTAGTTTAATGTGTACTGACAAATATTTCATGACCCCTATCCCAATATTTCACTTGCCATCAACTTCTGAAAGAGATGTGAAAATTGTTTTGAAAAAGAAAAAATTACGACTGGAAATTAAATACAATATCTCATTTGAAAAGAAACTAAGAAAAATGTACATTTTATGTAATGTCTCTTCTAATAAGCTTATGGGAAAATTATCTTACAGCCAGAGTATAAGTATGGATCATGTTGACACGTGTTCTAGATAAGAATATCCTTGAATTAATAAAATCAGAACAATGACTGCTGACCAATTGATATGCCCATGTTGCTAGACTGGACTGGTCAGTCTGACGGCAGCAGACTGAAACTTAATCGCAGCCATTCTGGTGCTACCTAGATATACCGACTTCAAAGTATGCACATCTAGTTATACAGCTGGAGGGTGCGTTATTTCCATGTAGGTTACTTATGGAATGTTCTTTATATTTACATGAAAAATTCCAACTTGACTAATGGGCAATTTTGCTGATTTGAAACTTTTGATTTTTTTCTTCCTTTTTTGCCCCAGTTTAGCTGTTACATCTAAAATATTTTCATACAGGGCTCAACATAAATTTTTTAACCAGGTTGCCGCAGGGCAACCTGCCAGATATTTTTACTTGCCCTTCCTCTGCCTCAACTTGCCCATTATTAGTGAAAAATTTTAAACCACTCGATATGCAGTTTTTTTCATTTGAAGCATTTAATTTTATTGATTTATAAAAAAATCAATTGTGCCATCTTTGAGTTATTTTCTCCATGAGCAGGTTGATTGATGGAATGTCAAATTTTGTAATGCACATCTNAAATTTGTGAGAGCGAGTATCAACTTTCACTACGAGGAGTGTTCCTCAACTACAAGATCTCAGACTTAATCTTTAGACCGAAAATCCAGCTTATCCTTCATGAATTCGTTAAAGCAGGAACTGTGAGGCATTTCAAACCATAGAGGAGTGAGATAAAGCCATGAAAGGGACCGTCTATACACGATTTCTACTGGCATTCTGCTGCGCTTGTACAGTTCTGTTGGGTGAGTTTGAAATTCTTTGGCATGCCATGTGTTTCATTGGGTTCATGTTATTGTTAAGAGTTGTGCGTTAGCTTTCTCGGAATGGATGCAACGCTTTGAAATTTAGGTCACTGCAGAAATACTGGGCAGTGCCAGAACTGACTGTGCTTTGCCAACTTGATATGTTTATATAGCGAACTTGGTAGTTTTGACTTTTTGATCGCTCGAAGTTTGCTCAGAGGCGCTGTGAACTGAAATTATCATTCGCATTTTCTTCTTTGGAGTAATGAGTTTTGAAATCCCAATGAATTTTACTCAGAATTAAAGTTTTCTTGACCCTCTGTTCGTGAATTCCTTAATAAGTTAACATTCTCTCAATTTTTGACAGCAGACCCAGTGGTTATTTGCAACAAGTTACATGCATCATTGCATGATTAGCACCAAGTAATGGCATTTCTGAGGACAAACCAGAACACTTTACATTTATTTAGTTTAATGTGTACTGACAAATATTTCATGACCCCTACCTCAATATTTCACTTGCCATCAACTTCTGAAAGAGATGTGAAAATTGTTTTGAAAAAAAAATTACAACTGGAGATTAAGTACAAAATCTCATTTGAAAAGAAACTAAGAAAAATGTACATTTTATGTAATATCTCTTCTAATAAGCTTATTGGAAAATTATCTTACAGCCAGAGTATAAGTATGGACCATGTTGACACGTGTTCCAGATAAGAATATCCTTGAATTAATAAAATCAGAACAATGACTGCTGACCAGTTGATATGCCCATGTTGTTAGACTGGACTGGTCAGTCTGACGGCAGCAGACTGAAACTTAATCGCAGCCATTCTGGTGCTACCTGGATATACCAACTTCAAAGTATGCACATCTAGTTATACAGCTGGAGGGTGCGTTATTTCCATGTAGGTTACTTATGGAATGTTCTTTATATTTACATGAAAAATTCCAACTTGACTAATGGGCAATTTTGCTGATTTGAAACTTTTGATTTTTTCTTCCTTTTTTGCCCCAGTTTAGCTGTTACATCTAAAATATTTTCATAGCATTTGTTCAATATGCTATGATGATTTGCTACTACTGAAGTACATTGTCACCCTGCTTTAGTCACGTGCACATGACACATGGTGATTTTTAACAGGCCAGTAGAATATTTCATTGGATTGTTAAATGATACCCACTTGACTTTATTCAGCAAATTATATTTTGAAGTGTTGTCAAAACAATTGACTTTAATGTATTTTGATTGAGGGTGTCATACTGTAAGAGCTCAGCTGGAACTTGTGCATTTTGAATGTGCAGTCATACCAAGTTCAAGTAAAAATGATAAATGTGCTTTTAAGTGGTTTAAAATCTATTTCTATTGTTTTCTACAGCTCTCCCCACATTCTCTCTCTCTCTCTCTCTCTCTCTCTCTCTCTCTCTCTCTCTCTCTCTCTTCTTCAAATACTTTGAAAGTGCCAATATTGCTTCAGGAACACAGCTGGCCAGGCAGTGAAATTGTATTTGTTTTCATAGCTTTCCATGCTAAAATAGCCAGAGAGTGCAGGATGGCCTGAGGCTGTTATAGATAGGGCTATATATAATCCAAAGATTTTTGATACACTAGTCAGTGCTCAATGTGAAATCAAAGCATTGTAGAAGAAGAGCTTCTAAAGACAATATACTATTAATTCTTGTTTTGTAACATGGAATTGGACATTGCTTCAAAACCATGTGTTATTGCTGTTATCCCTTGTTTTATTATTTTCATCAGTTGATTTTTGTCTCCATTGTTCCTTTAATCCCATTTTCAACTGATAAACATGTATTCAAGAAGTGAACCAAATGAGTAGCAGCACTGAATAAAAATAAATAATGTTCATGTTACTGAATATGTTATGTAATGTACTGGATCACAAAATCCCAGATCTTATCAGTGCATATTAAGAATAATAAGGCATAAGCACTTGAAAAAAGGAAGTACTTGTTTGTTGCAAAAGTTGATACCCAGGTGGTTTTTCCTGTTTTTACAGCCATCTTACCAGACATGGAGAAGTCACAAGTATAAGCTTCAGTTGATGATACCCTTGTATTATCTCTATTGCTGCAGACAAAATATTTTTATTACGACACAGTAGTGTATTTAGCTCAGAAGGAAGCAACTTCATGTTTATTGAGTGGCCTCTCTAAATATTTTTCTGGTCTCCTAATGGAAACCAAAAATGATGTATAATATTTTCAGATTCAAGAAATTTATACCAATATGTCTTCTCTGAGTAGTCTTGGTAGTGTAATATTGCATGCACTTTCTTAGAAATTGTCAATGGCTCTGTTGCTAGAGCATTTGATGCTTTTCAGCAAACTATTTTTTGTCCCTCATACAAAAGTGAAATTTTGAGAAGAGCCATTCTAAAATAATAGCTTTTCATAAATTGAATATAGAAACTTCAAAAAAAATTTTTTTAAACAGATTTTCTGTAGACTTCTTCCATGAGTAATTGTCCTTGGGTAAAATAAGGTGACCACACTGCTATGGACCAGTTAGCATATAAGCTATCCTCAATGGAACAGAAGCCTGTGTCACAAAAAGAACTTTAGCCTGAAATTTGTTCTTAACTTTTTCGACTGAAATTTGAGTTTGCTTTGACCCCAATGAAATCAGTTGTGGTTCAGTTGAGTTTAGTATTGCATCTGTTTTATAATAAAAAAGAAAATGCTACTGTTTTAGACCAAAAGTTATTCTTTGTTAGTTGACTACTGGACAGTCTTAACAAATTGATGTTGACTAACATTTTGGACTAAAAGTAGCTTGCAGTCTTTTGTGAAATCAACCCCAGGTCAACATATCAAGTTTCCTGTCGGAGAAACTATGTGCTCTATGGCAGAGGAAAGACCCTAATCTTCTAAGATGTTTCTTCCTGTTTGAAATTTGATTTAAGTAGTTAACTGACTCTAACATTGTCAGGCATTAAACTCCAGATTTATCTAATGGAAAAAAGTCATCCAAGTTTGGTCTTGGTGATATCTCATTCACCTCTCAAGTAATGGGGGAACACTTCTACTGAAGCCTGGAGTGAAATATTGGGTTACCAGATAAATGTATTCCTTTAAGCGTCTATTAGCTATCAGGGGATGTTTTTGGTTAAACTAAAAACCGACATCGCAGCACAATACAGCCTCGTGTAAGAGGACACCTTCCACATTGTTTCCGCATAGGGCCCTGTTATTTATTAGCTCATTTCTATCAAACCATAAACTACAGTGAAGTAAGAAAAAAGCTGTTGGTGCCCCGCTAGTATGATTTCCTGCTTATACTGATTCACCTCTGTTGTCTGAAAAAGCATTATTAGTTTAGGACATTCCTTTGGCTGGCGTCACCTTTGATCCCATTGTATAGCAGTCCTGTTATTAACAAGCTATCTAAACAAATTACACAAATTATTCCATGATCAATACAGGCCTTAAGATCAATTACGGTTAAGGTGTAGAGCT